GCCTCTAGTGATGCCAAGTTAAAGTTTAGAAATGATGAGGGGGGGGGGGGTAATTCCTAATTAAAGGTCTCAACGAAAGGAACAGTTTTCTACAAACTACTGCCTTTCTTCCTGTCCGGGGTGGAGGGGGAGGGGGGGAAAGGAATTAATTTATACTAACCATAGTCTTTCTCCTCGAGCTCTTGCCGTGATCGGTTATAATTCCTTATATCTTAAGAGTGAATTGTCAAAGGAAAGTACTACGGTTGGGACGTTTGGAAGAAATATAACCATTGGACATTTAAATAAAATTTGATACATAGCCACTTGGAATAAAAGCAAATGTAGCGCCATTTTCCAAATTTGGTTTTGTGTAGGATGTGCAGTACCAACTTTCTTATTTATCGAAGAAATTTCGTAGGGGTGTTTTAAAAAATGCGCTTTACCTGCACAAGGGTTGTGCACAATTTGTACTTGTTTCAGTTCAGTTTCAGTTATTTTGCGTTATTTAGTATGGTGTAAATAACGTTTTCTACAGATAACCTGAACGTAAAATTTAACGTTAGTGATACGTCACAGGACCGATTATAACATTCATTACACATTATAACATATTATTCAATTCAAATTTGGGTTGTCTAAAAGTGCTTTTGCACTACCGTCTGAAGGAACAAGCTTCAATACGTACATGCAGAAAAATGTGAGATATCTGCACCAATCAAAAGACTTTCAAAGGTAAATAAGTCCATACAACTGTTGACTGTTTTTACATACAGGCACCTCTCATATTTCCGTTATCGTTCTTGACTTGAGAGAATTGAATCCATCTGATAGCTATTATTTTATCAGTCTCTCCGCCACAACTTTCTCACACATTAAGCTCTGGCATATTAACGAAATATCAGTATCTTTTGACAGTTTCTCACGAGAAACAACTTATCGTTGGATTAGTTTTCAATATGATAAGTTGACCACATTAGCGAATGACGAAGCGTTTACAATGATAGGTAAACTCTCTATGTTTGCTAGCTTTGAGAAACAGTTTACTACATACCAAACTATTCTTTTTTTACGCGTCTCTTTACCATCCACGGTTCAACTTGTAGTGCGATTAATTGACAACCTTGCTCCTGAAATAGTATGAAGAAAACTGAGCTTTTCAATCGGGAAAAGTACACAAACTAACTGAGGAGAATTATATTGAAATCACGTTAAATCAGGAAAGAAATGTTCATTAAATAATATCGGGTGATCAGAAATGATTGTCCACATTAAGTGAAGTATTGAGGAATTCAAGTTAGAGGAGCTGAAATTATTAAAAATTCATAATAATCATGCACTTTGTGACGAGTTTTTGAAATTTGGTATAGGTATGATCTTAAGGTTTTAGCAAACCATCGCAAGCAACTTGTGCGCGACCTCTGGTGTTGAATGGGCGGTGTGGAATACCCCCACTAAACGAAAATTAGTTGTCGCTCTCTCTGCAATGGTAACTAAATAATTCGTTTACTCATACGAACAAAAATCTCGTATATCTCAGGTTCCCCGAGATTACGTTTTTACCTACAATTCTGAGTCCTGAGGGGGGTCCTCGTGATACTTTCAGAAGGGACCATCGTGCCTTTTTTTCTTAACGAGCATTGCACTATCCACCGGAGTATTTTCTCTACAATTTTCATGTGAAAACGCTAAACATTTGGGGGGGAATGTAGTATCAGGGGGTATGGAATACTTCCCAGTAAACGGAAATTTGTCTCTTTTTTTACTTTTAAGGCTCTTAAAGATCATAACAAGTCTTTCAAAAAGATCTTTCAAATCCTGCTACGTTCAAGGTTTTTCCAAACCTTTCAGTGCCTCAAAAGGCCATTTACGACTCTTAAAAACTATACAAGTCTACCAAAAAGACTCTTCAGGACCTTTACTACCTTGAAAAACTCAATTCAAATCCTTGTATGATGTCTTTTACTGCTTTTAAGTTGTAACGAACCTGAAAGTCCCACAGTTGGGCGCCATATTACAACGGAAGTTAAACTTCAGGTTCATGGTTCTATATGTGTAGTTTTTCTTGTAAACTTTTTCCTCTTTCCGTGGATAGTATGTTAGGCTCTACGGACAGTTGCAAGAGATTCCAGGACATATTCCGGTTTCTTCTCTCATGGTCAGATTTCAAAGACATTACACGACCTAACGTACGGAACTCGCCCCCAGATGAAGCACCCTGTAAATAAACAGTAACATATTCATGCAAAGGAAAAGAAATGTGCTGCAAGAAAATCACTTACGAATTAACAATACAGGGTGTTTTTTTGGGAGCTTTAGTTAAACGTTTCTGGGAAAGTAAAATACGTAGGTTTTTGAAAATTTGTACTTAGGAGTTACTCTGAAGGCCGAATCGATGTAAAATATTTTCAAAATGTCCGCACTTCCGGAAACACCGGAAGTAGATAGTAATTCCGTTATTTTAAATGGCAACCCCTATTTTTTATTGCATTTTTGGATTCTACGTGAAATTTCAGTTCTTTTGATACCCATATGTCGATATCTGCCATTTATGGTTTTTAAGTTATTTTGACTTTAAGAAAAAAAATGGCGGATGCAGATGGTACCTTGATAATTGATTACTTGAAAACGGTTATAGTCATGGCAACCCATTTTTATCAGTGCATAGAGAATGAATAGGGCTTTCTTTTAGTGTACTTAAAAAAAAGTTAAGTTGCGTACAACCGCACCTATGGAGATCCAAATTGAAGAAACTTCAAAATCCATAAACTCAGTTTTTTTAAATGGAATGACCATGTTCTTAATATTGCATGAGATAGAGAATCGAAATTGGCATATTTTGATATTACATGTTCCTATAGCTATCTTTAACAGTTTCTGATTTATTCCCATTTCATTGGATTGATCTCGGAATTGATGCCATTTTTTTTCGCATTTTCTTTTTAGTAGTTGGCCATGATTTTATAACAATCGAATTTTAAACAAATCAAGGAATGGAGTCTTTAATACCATTGATTCTAGTTCTAGTCTAAATAATTCATTAATAAATAACTCATTTATTAAGGATATAGGACGGAAAATTTTTGAAAAATTTGTTAATCTTGCATTTGCAATTCAATTCATTTCCTTAAATATTCTCTTGTAGAGCTTTGTATCACTTGTGCTTCAACCGTTTGTAGTGCATTAGGGGTACAAAATTTCCAAAATTCATACAATTTCGTTCCAGTTTTAGAATGAATGTACGGAAAGCACGCGCCGCGATTCTGCCCATTTCACCATAAATAACAATTAAATTCCAAAATAGGTGAAACCACTGCGAGTCATTTTTCGATTTTTGAAAAACTTATGTTAACCTATAACAGTGGGTGATGGATTAGTGTCACTAGATTTGTTTAAAATTCAATTGTTATAGAATCATGGCCGACTACTAAAAAGAAAATCCGAAAAAAATAGTGTCAATTCAATAAAATGGGAATAAGTCAGAAACTGTTAAAGATAGCTATAGGAACATGTATTGTCAAAATATGCCCATTTCGATTCTCTATCTCATGGAATAGTAAGAACATGGTCATTCCATTAAAAAAAACTGAGTTTTTAGTCTTTGAAGTTTCATAAATTTGGATATCCATAGGGGCGGTCGTACGCAACTTAACTTTTTTTTAAGTGCACTAAAAGAAAGCCCTATTCATTCTCTATGCACTGATAAAAATAGGTTGCCATGACTACAACCGTTTTCAAGTAATCAATTATCAAGGTACCATCTGCATCCGCCATTTTTTTTCTTAAAGTCAAAATAACTTAAAAACCATAAATGGTAGATATTGACATATGGGTATCAAAAGAAGTGAAATTTCACGTAGAATCCAAAAATGCAATAAAAAATAGGGGTTGCCATTTAAAATAACGAAGTTACTATCTACTTCCGGTGTTTCCGGAAGTGCGGCCATTTTGAAAATATTTTACATAGATTCGGCCTTCAGAGTAACTCCTAAGTACAAATTTTCAAAAACCTACTTATTTTACTTTCCCAGAACCTTTTAACTAAAGCTCCCAAAAAAACACCCTGTATAGTGTCGATGTTTCCAAATACAGCACCATCTACGAATCGCTATTACATCGTTTAATTCTGCATACTCGTATTGGACATCATCCCTAAGAGAACATACTGTAACTAAATATAAATAAAAACACGTAAATCTGTCTGGAATTCTTACTGAGGGTTGGTAGGTAAAACCAGCGCTAGGAACAAAGGGATACTGTAAATTAGAAAATGGGATCTTACCGTAAGTAGCCTTATGCTTTTAATTCAAAGTATGAAAAATGACAATGCCCATGCTGTACTGGAATGCCGTTAATTTAGCAAATAATATAACTGGGTCATATAATTACTAAATGGATGCAATAAACGTAAAGATAAAATAAGGAATACGTCACTAAAGTAATTGTCGAAACTGCACTCACTATTCGAAACGTAAACATTACCACTGCTATCAACAAAAGCACAAATACCTCTGCCCCAATTTCCCCTTGTAAGTAAATCGTAGGCGAAAATTGTTAATATCGACGCGCCCAGAGTCGTCGGTCGATATGGATCATTACCTTACCTCGTACTGCTTTATATTTGACACTTATTGTAGATTATGGCCCATTTGAATGTAGGGCACAAAAGAAAAAAAACACGTGCTCCACGGTCAAACGAAACAAAGCGCAATATTTAATTTTTTCGTTGCGGCCAGGGGAGGATTCGGGAATAATTAAATAGAATTTTAGCGGGCAAATTCGCTTCGATTACAACATAATTATGGGAAATATTGTGCCCTCGTGTTTGGCCCAGGTTTCATGGGGGACAGGAAATTCAGCGCAATTTGCAATAAAACGGAGACTGGGTGACTTGCGGTTGAGTCAAGGCCCACAACCAGTTCATCCGGTAATCCACTTGAATCGAGACGAAACAACTGATGATTGGAAACTAGTGGGAACTGGTTCGTGGACAAAAAAAAACGCGTTCCCCAAAATAATCAGCGTCACATAAGGTGTGGTCACCATTTCGCCATTTATTTGTAATAAAATCTTGAAAGGTAAATAGATAAAACTTGAAAATACTCATTAAGTATAAAAATCTAGAAAAGTTAATATTTCCATTTCTTTTTACAGAGTAGATCGTAGTAGCTCGTCGCATGGACCAGTGCATCCTTGTGCACATCGACCGTGTCCTCCAGTAATTTCTTCCAGAATCGCGCGACATCCATCTTACTACAACTCGGATCTTGGAGATTATCGTAGGAGTCCATCGCCATCTTGTGTAATTCGACGCACTGTTTCATTATTACCTGATGTGTCTGTAGTACTTGGCAAAACTGATCTACAAGCTCGGGATTCTCATCTGGAGAACTGGAAGCGGTCGAGTCATCCGAACACGGGTCACTGTCATTCCCGAAATCGTGCTCGGGGCAAAGGTCACCTTCGCCCACGGCCAACTCCTTGACACGATCGGCGTATCGCAACGTGTTTAAGGTGTGTTCGCACGACGAAACACCGGGAGATATTAACGCGATCATGCAAGTGCGCGAGTTTTCACCGATAAACGAATCGCGAAGGATTTGGGTCAACTTGCTCCCTCTAAACGGGCAATGGGTCTCCTTTTTCCCCAAGGCACGAATGCACTCCTTAAGCGCCAGCAGAGACCGATTAATCACAGCACCTTCTATTCTGGTCAGTCGATTTGATTTAAACGTGTCCGCACCGCGCTCATTCCCCGCCAGATCGATGAGGGAAAAAGTGCCCACAACCCTTTTGCCACCAGCGACTATTTCTCGCAGCACAATCTGGAAAACGGCATGCGATCGCGAGGAAGACAGATTGGCCGAGGTCTGAGCCGATGTCCTTTGGTTCGACCCCTTCTGAATGATTTCGAGGACCTGCTCGACGTTTTTGACGACGATCTCAGTGAGATCGACGATTTGCACCTTTTGATTGCCGTCCTCCCACACCTTCAGACGTTTCCGCTTCGCCAACAGGTCGTATACGAAGTTTCCGTAGATTTCGAAGAAGCTCGCCGAAAGGGCGAGGTTCATTTGGCGATAGGTCGGCGTCGCGAGTAGCTTAAAGATGTCGACGGCTACCAGGCCGTAAATTCCGCTCGCGAAGTTCTGAGTTTTTCCCTTGAATTCGCCGCCCATTGTGTGCGTTTTTCCGGATCCGGTCTGTCCGTACGCGAAACACGTGGCGCGTCCGCCTTCGAAGACCGTTCTGATTAAAGGTTGGGCGGTGAAGCGGTACACCATTTCGTTGCTGACGGTGTCATCGAAGACGTAGTCGAACCTAAAGTTCAGATTGTCGAGGTACTTCGTTAAGTCTACCTTTTGCTTGGGTTCGTGTAGGATTAAGCGGTCGCGTTGGGGTATCGTAATGACGTCAATTTCGTTTTTGTTGAGCTCCTTTGCGTTTAGTGGCCTTTTCCGTACGCATACAGTAATTTGGTGATCGACAACGGGATCTGTGGAGCGAAGCGGATGAAAATCCAGAGTGGTCTTGTACTCCTTGATCATCTTCAGGAACTCCCAGTTTGGATTGTCGCCTTCCATTTTGATGAGTGCCTCTTTGATCGCCTTGGAGTCCGCATTCCTTTGTCTCCGTTCGTTTCGGTTTTTTGCTATTAGCGCAATTTCGCGGACTGCTTTCGATTTGGGTATGTGCATACTTTCATTGCGGTGACAGTTCAGAGACCTTCGCACGCATTGTGGCGAATGCGGCGATGACGAGTGGGATTTTGGGGACGCTACAATTGCGGATGGTTAAATACTGGAAAAACTACCAGCACTTACCTTGCAGTCGATCAACTATCATAGTTTTACTCCTGGAGCGAGTAGCAAACGGAGGAACGGTATTGTTAAGTTGTTCATTGTGATTTCCGGCTTCATCCGATAATTTTGACACCTGATCACGTTCGTCTTGAGCTTTAGAGCTTATTAAATACGAAAACATCCTTCGTGTCAAAGTTTGGAATGTCAATATACAAATTTAGAACCAAATGAGTGACACATAGCAAATGCGATCCTGCAGAATAAATAAGGTCATTAGTGTTCAAATGAAAAATCCTTACCAATTTAGGTGACACAAGAGGCATTTAACTAAAATTAATCACAAACAAAAGTGTACAAGGGTATTTTCCGACAATGAAATCCTATTTACTGCAAACGAGAACTTCAAACGTATTATTGACCAAACTTTCGGGGCGGACCAAAGCTCATGTTCCGTACAATAGTCACATTATAAACGGACAATATTCGCATGGAGGATTATAAGAGGATTCGCTTCTTAGAGAAAGGATTTAAAACATTTCCTCTTGTCGATGTTTTTTGCTATTTACAGCTCCCCCTTTCATTTTACTTCGGAAGATTTTAAAAGAATGTGCGTTTAGATAGAAGCGCCGATTTGCCAAGTGGACAAAAACATACAAAAGAGGTTATTGTGTGACTATATTTAGTGAGAGAGTGTAAATTAATTGCCACGATTGAAACAAAGATCTATACTTAGATTACATTGAACCTAAATTTAGTTAATTAGTATCGCTCGTAAACTGTTCTTTTAGTACTCTTCAAACAGTCGCTCTTGTTATCATAATGTCAAAAAGGTCGAATAAACAATCTCAGCAAGGTACGGTGCTGTAGATGTTATATAACTGTTAGTTTGGTTGAAACTGTTGCAGTAATATAACCTGGGACTTGAAAGTTATAGACAACTTACAATTTCCCACTCGAAGCGAAATATAGTACCTAATTAATTAATTACATATCATTGTTGCATTGGTGTTATGTACCAAATGGTTAATGATTTCTATCGAAATCCATAATTCTTTTACTTTGGTTTTACCGTCGATACGTAATCGCTTACTAGACCTAGGAAATTAGAACAATTTTGCCTGAAAGTTGTATATACCCTCAAAATTGGGGGTGCCGAAAAAATGCTCGGAAATCGTTACTCGAGGGTTTTATGTTTATTTTTACAATTTACTGAAAAGTCGCCTCCGCCTCCCTCGTATCGCCATCCTTGGGCATCCCCGGGAAATGTCGAGGGCAGATCTGAACCTTTTTATAAAAATAAACGTAGTACCCAATAAATCAAATCTGAACTGTCACACAAATGACTTAACAAAACAAATTCATAACGAAAATAAGATAACGTTTCCCTATCCTTAATGATTTTGGGAAATAATCTTTTTACAATGAAACAAATAAACAAATACCTTGGATACAGGCTAGTAGGCAAAATTTTTTGTGTTTAACTGTAAAAAAACCACCAGATTAATTAAATGAATTGAAATTAACATTTGATTAGTAATTAAACGACTCGTATTCACTTCAGGTGTGTAAACAATGTTGGGTTGGACCTCAACGTCCAATATGTTTATAATTTTTATGAAATAATAAATGCATTTTTGCACCCCCTCTGCAATGTTCAAAATATGGGTCAACCGGTATTATACAACATTTTTCTTTGTATTTTTCTGAACACTATGCCAAAAACCGCATTTTGATACGAACTGAGTGCAAAAATTTCCTTATTATCTCTTGAATTCTAAGCGCTTTTTAAAAAGTTGGAACATCGTCAGGACTGTAGATAACTCGTATGAGCCAAACAGACTAAAAAGTTAACAGGTGGTTACAAAATTGGAAATGATTACTTTAAAATTTATCAAAATAGGGGTTGAATCGACTAGGTCAATTGAATGGGACATCCTTAAACTTACGCCGGCCCGCTCAAAATTTTACTTTTTTGTTCTAACTTTAACTTCCTTGTGGATATAACTGCAAAACTTAGCGGACTACCTGCACGCTAGGGCGAGTACTTAGTGTCTATTCCCTTTTTATTTTGCTTTATGTTGCCGAGCAGAAACTCTGAAAAGAACCCACCGAATCGGCCCGCATCCGCCCGCAGAGCTTTGATAGCTTCCGTAGCGCTTTTCCACAAATCCCTATTTTAGTCTTATCTATAGCCGTCAAGAAAAACCAAAACGGATTTAACGCAAACCTCGCCAGACGTCTCCAGTATCGCCTATCCTACGCATTTTTCGCGTCTTGTAGAATGTAGTCGTCATTAAACCTACTCGCGGTCACTCTTCATATAAAGCGGTACATATGCAATTTGACACATTTATAAAATTAATAAATTTAGAAGGTCATGCGGGCACCCATTACAAATGTTCTTAGAGACAATTAAGGACTCGTAAAATCTCCTTAAAGAGAGTTCCTTAAAATTTGGCTTTTAATTTCTTCAAAGTCGTCCTTAAAAACTAAATGTCTTTTAAATGTTCTAAAAACCTGTTCGAGGCTGCTATGTCCCTGGGAAATTCTTAAATTCCATGCTGTACTGCATCTCATTTACCTGACTATGATTCGCACAAATAAAATATGTCTTACCATACCATCGTTTGCCGTCACTGTCCCAGGGAAGCGAGATTGTGTGAATTTGCAATTTAATATGCCTTTCCCTCTATTCAGCCCAAACGACTAATTCCGTATACCCTACAAAACCATTAGAAAACTTTTGGAGATCTAAAGGCTATAGACGGTTAAGCCCTAGGCTCTTACTGGATCTTACCGTTAAATGTTATTAAAAATCCCTAAAAGCGTCCACAAAAGCTCTAAAATGCCCGGCTCTGAAAAAGTGCCAAAAATCGCAAAAAATTATAAAATAGACTCTAAAGACTGTAGATAGTGCAGAAAACTCTAGAGAAGTTTACTATGACTGCCTTCCGACCTTTGCAAATAGCGAGTTATGGTTTCCAAATCTCAGAAACGTAGATTCAGTGGAAAACGTGAAAGAAACCGAAGAAGGCAACAAATCTTCGAAAACAGCAGAAAAATGAAAACGACAGGAACAAAATAAACTCGGAGAAGTCAGGAAATTAATGAAGCCCAAATAGACCGACGAATCAGAAATTGAAGAAGGATGAAATGCCAAAAAAGAGGTAAATGCTACTTAAAATAACATTTTAGTAGTAGAAGTCTTTTACCTAGTTCTTTAATTTTACTGTTAACGGCGATCCAAGTGTTATAGATTCCTTATTACAATAGTTCTTTGTTTTGTCGTCCGAGTTCGTGCAGAGGTTTTCTTAAATTTTTTGGTGCACGGACTACTTTGTAGAAAAACAGATTCAATCCTTTCTCGTAAGAAGAAGTAGGGGTTACTCGACATTTTTGTCTACCTGTTAAAAGGCATTTATATGGCTGTATAAGTTTGGTGAAGTTTTTCTATTGTTATTTTGCTTTCGATACTTCGCCGACGCTGTTTGCGTTTATACCCGATTGTACGAGCAATCCGTGGTCGAGGCAAAATTTTACTTTTGGTTAGTTAACGTAAATTGAATTATTAATTTTTATTGAGTATTAATTACGGTTTAACATCCGATTGACGACTAGTCCAGTAAAAGTAGACATTGACCCAGAAATTTGAAAAAACAAGCTGAAAATTGGCATACATGGTGAGGATGGTGCTAGAACTAAATCCTGAAAAGTCCCAAAAGATCCCGGTTGGGGAACGGACGCCATCTTGAAAAAACTAACCCTAAATTTGATTTTCCGATTTTTGAGCATAACAAATGAACGGATGGTCCAAATTTCGTCGTCAAGGTGTCAAAATGGTTGTTTTGATGTTTGTTTTGAGTGAAATAATTATTCCGTATAATACGATGCCCTTGCAAATGTGACCTTTTTCAAAAAACGACCCCCATCATGGGTTTCTCTCTTTTCCGGCTATTGTTGTTAAATAAAGCTTCGGATAATTAGTATTGATGTTTCTAATCGTTCTTCTTGACGTTCTCTATCTGAATGTCAAAATTTATGTTAAAAAAACCTTCAGAGTTCAGAACAAGATTGAGAGTACTAACTAAATGAACACTATTTTATTCATTATTATTTGCAGTCAGGTTAAGTTGCAAGTAAAAATATTTAAATGCATTTTACAATTAATGTAAATGAGCGGAATCCTTTCAACTATTCGCACATAACTAAAAAAAACGGCGTGAAAATAATCAATCCATACACAGGTTTTAAACTGGAAACATTCCGAGACCGAACGACAACACAATGACGAACATCTATACTATGAGTAAAAATCAGACACCGATCTACTCTTACAAAAGTAACCGTTACACCTGAACGCACGGTATCGAAACGTGATATAAATTTGGGTGTTTCGTTACTAAGAAACCGTAGCTTCCAGATTTATTTATTTATTTTAGGAATAAACAGAAGGTGATTTAATTTCTAGCGCCCTTTTAGCTGCCGATGAGGAAACCAGTTTCCGTATTACATAAACACTTTCTAAGATAACCGCTCCTTTTGCTGTTTAGGTAGTAAGGTTACACAAGATAATCGTTGCAAGGAAGATATAAAATCCAGGATAGCGCAGGCTAAAAAAGCATTGGCTTAAAAGTGGGACCTGCTAAGATTCGAGATAAATTAGGAAATTAGGAAAAGATTGATAAAAACGTACAAATGGAGTGTAGGTCATACAGGTGCGAAACCTGGACGATAGGCAGGGAAAAGTAGGATAGAATGAGGCTTAGCTGGATGGATAGGGTAACAAACGAACCAGTCTTGGAGCTAGTACAGGAAATAGGGAAATATGGAAAATCGTACCGAGAAGACGAGCTAGAATGATAGCGAACGTGCTAAGACACGGAGGAATAGCACTACTAGCTATAGAAAGTAGGGCCGAGGGCAAGAGAGGGGTAGGGCCACAGAGACATAAATACATAGACCAAATAGTTAGGGACGTAGGCAAAGGTAGTTATGTAGAACTGAAAAGATTAGCGTAGGATAGGAAAAGGTGGAGGACTGCGTCCAACCAATCCTAGGATTGCGCAAACAAAACAACAACAAATGCCGAAAACGTGAAAAATCCAGGTTGGGGGTGATCTTTCTAAAAAGCTCGAATTTTCAAGGGCGTCTATGTGCGGAAATATGTTTTTACTCCAAATACACATTTTGACATTTTGACACCTTAGCAACGAGAATCAGACCATTGGTTCATTGGTTTTGCTCAAAACTCGAGAAATCGAGTTTAGGGGTAGTTTTTTTAAGATGGCGTCCGTTCCCCAACCGGGATCTTTTGGGACTTTTCAGAAATTGGTTCTGGCACTATCCTGAACATGTTTGCCAATTTTCAGCTTGTTTTTTCAAATTTCCGGGTTTGGCCCTTATTTTGTCTAATTTTACTGGACTAGACTGCCAGACGCGAGAATGGCTTTAGCAATATTTTATCTGCCGCGCTATTCACTACCCCTTCTGTTTCGTTTTGCTAGTGTACAAAAACCCCGATATTCACCCCGGCCCACCTCTTTGTCGAAACGGAATTATAAGCGATCTCACTGATAGCGAGTTAGGGAAAGAGAAGAGGGTAATAATGAAAATACAAGTACTAGTTAACACTATATTTTAGTAGCCCTTACGGAATTACAAGTTATCTAATCCGAATCTTCTTCTACATCGGTACCCCAGACTGTGTACACCTGATCATCGAAGCTCGCTTTCATATGGATAGCGCTCGTGACGTAATGGTCTCCATTTCCAATAACTGCATTGAAGGAGTATTCCGGAAACTGAATCCCCAGGTACCTACACAGAAGCAAAATTCTTTTCTTCGGGTCACTCTTCATGCCACAAGTCCGCTTCAATGCTTCCGCGACCTTCATCTGCATAGGAACAGTCATATCGCTACTCAAAACTGCCACCTAAAATCTCCGATAAGGTCGAGTTGCTTAAAGTTGAGGCGAACCTTTTTAGGTGCGTAGCTAGCCTTATCGGTCTTGATCACCTCCCCAGCATTGTCAAAGGTTTTTATTTCTACTTCAACTGGAAGTTCGAATTCTTTAAGGAAGCCGATGTAGTCTTGAACACTATCGCTGTCAAGTTCATCGTCAGGGTCGCTATCGTCCTCAAATAACATGTGGGTACTACCGTCTTTGAAGTGAATCTGCAGGGAACAAGTGAGAACTTTCAGTGAGCAATACGTTCCTTACCCTTAATTCTTCGGTCAGGAGTGTTTTCTCCTGCAAAACGCCTTCGAGATCGAAAATTTGTCTACTACCCACAGCTGTCAAATTCAACTTCTTGGCTAAAGCAAAGACTGATTTAATTTTGGCTTCATCGTACTTCTCTTCCAGCTGGGGCCCTTCTGGTTTAGTCTGAAAATGGGAGATTATTTTGTTAAATATTAGCAAAGGTAGCTATAGTACTTCGAAGGAAGATGTTCGAATTTCGAAGGTGTCGAGTTTCAAGGGTTTTCCTTCTTCATTATTAAACGGATGCGTGTAGACAACTTTTACCATCATGTTTGCATCCTCAAAGCTCTTCTTAACGGCCTCAAAACGACCGATTTCCTTCTTCAGTATAGCTTCAGTTGCTTCGCCCTCTTCCTGCAAATAATAGTCGTTACTAAGTATTACATTTCCTGAAAGGTTTACCGGAGTGGATTTTGCCAAAGCGAAAGAAAGGCAAAAGCCGATCACAAGTACAAACGCCCTTCGAAGTTGCATTTCGCACGTCTCTGATTCTGATTCAGTTGTGTCTTCGGAATCTCTTTCAACCTTTGATTGATGTCTCCAATAACAGTTATGTAAATGTGTGGTAATGATAACTTTGAGATAGTCACTGTAGTATCTTTAGCTTTATAGTTTATCAAAGGTCAATTACAAAATATGGACAATGCAATCGCACGAGAGAGATCCGCCTTCCAGTTGCACCGTTGGATGCCAGTTATCAAGAATAGCATTAATTTAACAGAGCACAAGATCAAGTGATCTGGTTTGCTTCCGCTAGTATAGAGCTTCGGCAAAGGGCTAGAGCAAAAATTAAATATCGAAAGTTGTTTTAAGATCGTACCATTTCTCCTATTCCACATAGAAATGAAAAATAGTGGAGATCGTAACCCATGAAGCCACAAAACGCGGGACCAGTTCTTTTTTTGCCTAAATTGTAGTAAAATGTGCCGCAGTCAGTTTGTAAGCAAAACATCCCGTTCTCAAATTATCGCATTTTTTTAGATGAACCTCATAAGTTATGAGCTTGACCTGTAATTGGAGTAACGACCGAAATTTTGAGCAGCACCTCCGTATGATAACCTATGCAATAACCTACACCGCGAGTAATCAATTTTCAAATCCGGAGTGTGCCCTTTTGCTCTTCTGTATTTAAACAAATGGTTGGAATTTTACTAATGAAATGGGGGGTTACATTTCAGGGTAGGAAATCCCTGATAGTAATTGCTGTTTACAGTGATGTTAATGTTTTTCCCAAAATGTATCCACGGCTAGTTCAAAAAACAAATTCTAGTGTCATTACCGTACGAAAATTTGGCTCTATTTTTTGTCCGGAAAATTAAAAATGTGGCGTAAATGAGTTCAATCTAATTATTTTATGTGATACGATTCTGATCCATTCAGCCAATTTACAGAAGAATTTTTCTAATTACTTTATGTAAAATTGAATGCCAATTCTTAAAAAGAACTGATAGTTATTTTCTATACAAATCAAAAAAATTTCGTTACCTATATCATTTTCTGGAATCGATGGCTTCCCTATAGTACAAATCACTACGGCCTTCTTTAGCATTTTTATTAATTAATTAATTAATCTCATTTTCCAAATATTTGAGGTTAGGAACGAGATTTTGAAAAACGGTTTTCGCTGACCTCTTTGGGTGTTTTTTGGCTACATTTTCTTAAAGAAAAAGTCATATCATTCCATTTGCTTTTTTTAGTATTTTGTCATAGTGTCAAAGCTATCCCCCTGGCGGAGAAGGATTCAACTAAATTAACTATATTGATTCTTGTTGCCCAAGGAATGCTCTTTTCAATGATACCAAATTTGTTACAATCAGTCAAAGGGTTAAGAAGTTAAAGCAGGTTATTGCACAAACAATTGAACGCCCTACGCTATCTTTGTTTTTTAAATAACTGAGTTTTTGTTTTTACGAAAATGATAGATAAACTGGTTCTCTTTAAAAATGTGAAAAAACAATGTTTAGTTTATTATGCGAAATTTAAAGAAAATGCAATTTTAAAATTTAAGATGGCAGTTACGCCCTTTGGTGGCCATTTTTAGAACTTGAAAATATTTTCCAGCGATTCTTTATAACCGATTTACCCAATAATTTTTTTACCCCTAAGTTATACGACGAACGGTTCCCGAGATATGGCGGAGGAACAGCCTTATTGGGTCACCCGGTACGTATTTACACAGACGACAAGATGAACAAAGCCTAGACAATAGAATTTGTTTTGGGCAAAGATTGTGAAAGGTCTTTCTGTAATTATTTCGTTTAAACTTAGTAACTGACAGCAAAATAGTATCTTCTTTTGAATAACACGGTCAAAGATTATCTACACGTATACTTAATTATAACGAAATAGAATTTCTTGAAAATTGTGACAAAAACATGTATAGGGTGCCCTTTGATTGGCCCCACGATTATCGAACTTGACACAAATATCGAACAGAACTGACGCTCTCGGTTCAGTCGCTTGTAACAAGGCACACGGTCAACATGGCAATCGTCAAAATTCTTCTAAGTCTTGCACTTGTCGTAGCGTGCGGGGCCATGCAGGCCAACTACTTCGGGGGCCCTGGCAATGCACCAAGGGTACGTATGATCATAGGTATTTTTAACACGAGAGCTATTAATTTTATTCCGAAGATATCGGTACTGATTGAGAAATCCTCGAACATGTCCCCCAGCATGGAGTTGGACGCTTCCGATATGTTAAAGGACGCGATCGCGTCGAAAGGCGCGCAACACCACAGCGAAATCTGTAACACGTTGAGGCAAAATTACGCTCACAAGCATGACGGGTTCGTATGGCACGTTGTTATGTACAAGGCCTACTCGATCCAACCCATTAAAAGTATCGAATTGAAGGTGGATCATGATATGTATATGCTTTTTGCCACTAAAAAATAATTGTACTTTATGCTCAATTGACAATAAAAAAGTTGTTTATCGCGTTTTTACTTACACTGCAATTATTCGCTGAATGATGTAAGTGATGACCTCGATTATCTAAAATTTTCTCGAATTTCTGTTCGATGAACTATTGTAGTTATCAAATTCTGCAGTTTATTCAATAACGTCCTAACGTCACGAACTCCAGCCTGGATTCCATGCCCAATGTCCTGATAGGGTGGTGTTCAAATAATGAGGATCACCTTCGACTTCCCTCCCTAGTCGCTTACAGTCTGTCAATATCCGAATAGTTTATGAGCTCGTAACGTCTTTCCGTCCGGATATATGCACCAAAAGACCTTGGATGTAGTCACCGACGTAAGTAATGATAATCGAAAGCTTACTGCCACTTAGGCCACCAACCATACACTATCTAAAATGGCAACGTTGAAGTGTAACTTTTCCGGTGGGAATTTATATCTAAAATGGCAACGTTGAAGTGTAACTTTGTTTCTGCATTTCTTCGTCACTGCCTTGATATAAACACTACAGTAGGTATAATTACAAAAATTGGGCAACCGGATTTTATGCATTATATTCTGGCAAACTTAAGACAATAATTGACATTTGTAGCTTAATCTCGTTTTTCTCTTCATTGAAATGAAAAATGGCTTTTAATGTTAATCAAGTTTTTATTTTAGTGATCCAGTTTTGTTACACACTGGCAAAAAAGCCCACGTAAACGTAGTAAAAAAATAAAATTTAACGATTCAAATTTCTTTCTTTAGGTTGTTTTCAATCGAACCCAAAAGTCAAAAAATTGTAATTATTGTCATTGAATCCTTTTCTCTGAATTTAAAAAATTGAGGTAACAAATTCAGCAACAATTCCTAACAAGTAACCGATGAAGTGGTAATTAAACTCCTCGGCATTTAAAATCACATTTCCTTTTAATGGAAGAACCATATGACCACATTGCTTATCTAATAAGTAATTAACAAGGCATTTACATAAAGCGCATTTCCACTTGCATTCATTTCCTATTTGTAACATGCAACTTTTGTTAAAATTGTAAAAATCCGGCCACAAATATGAAAGATAGCGTTGCACATGTGCAATCCATTTTTGACGTGCTACTTCAATTTCAGTTTTTAAGAAGAGTTTCATTTCAATGCTTTTCTAAATAAGAAAGTTGGAACTGCGCATGCGCAAACCTAAATTTTGAAGCTAACGTTAGATTTTCCTTTGTTCCAAGTGGTTATGTACCGAATTTCATTTAAATCTCTCCATAAATAAGAAAGTTGGCACTGCGCATGCGCAAAACCAAATTTTGAAATTGGCTTTTATTCCAAGTGGCTATGTATCAAATTTCATTTTAATACTTTTATAATTAAAAAAGTTTGCACTGCGCATGCGCAAAACCAAATTTTGAAATTGGCTTTTATTCCAAGTGGCTATGTATCAAATTTCATTTTAATACTTTTATAATTAAAAAAGTTTGCAATTCGGTTTATAAATGGTCAAGAAAGGGCACTGTGAATTTTGAATCGATTCGACTCAACTTTTGGCATTGCCTATTATATGGCTAAAGCTATGCCCATATTGAATTTCATGCAATTCAGTTTATAACTAACGGAGATGTAAAAGCGATTGGACATTTCTAAACAAAGTTATCGTTCACACGGACAGATAGAGAGACAGACAGACAAAGGAACAGACAGACAGACCAACAGGCAGACGACAGACAGCAATGTAAAATATTAAACGATCTCTAGGATCGTTAATAAACGGCCTAAGTGTAAAATTATGGATTTTTTGTAAGCGGTACAGAAAAAATTCCTTCCTTGGTGCAAGACTCGACACTATAATGAACCAAATAGCGAAAAAAGTAGAACAATAGCTCTTAAGATAAGAAACTAGTAGCGTCTCAAAGTGAGCGGACGGACGGACGGACCGACGGACGGACGGACAAAGTGGCCACAATAGCGCATTTTTTTTGTGGAAATGCGCTAAAAACAGATTTACCAATTCTTGGTATTATACCTGCTGCAGCGTTTATGTCAAGGCAGTGACAAAGAAACGCCGAAGCAAACACGACAATACACGACGCCGTGCGGCCCATCCCACACGAATTACAGCCGGAAAACTCACACTTCAACGTTGCCATTTTCGATAGTGTATGGTTGGTTACCTAAGTGTCAGTAAGCTTCCGATTATCACTTTTGTCGGTGATCTTACATGCACCGATTTCGCTCGTTTGTCTCAAACTTTATAGTTCGTCATTATTAAATGTTGTTCCCATCATACGTCTGGATAAAAAGAAAATGCGCCCATTCCATTACTTAGATAGATATGTGTATGCACTGACTCGACGGACTGGGACTAACCGTTATCACCTTCCTGTCTGAGTCCACCCTTTTGACAACTGGCAAGTGTTCGTGAAAAGGGGGATAAGGAAGTGTACTCGAATGAAAAGTTTCCATAAAATTAATGAATTTTTAGGGGAATTTTTCGAAACAAAAAAATTTCTCTATGTGATGCTTTTGTCCATCTGTCCGCCTGTTCCTTGCCTAATTCCGCGTTTACACGAGGCCAGTAAGTAGGCCAATAGCTGAACTCCAGTGACTGGATTCCAGTAGCTGACCTGTCCAGTCTGGTGAATTAACGTTTACACGAAGGCAGTTCATTGGACCATTGAATAACGAAATTCTCGATTGGTCCCAGCCAGAATGTCCAGTCGGCCAGGAACCATGGATGATCAGTGTCCCGCTAGGACTTAAATACAGTGTTTCACCAAATATGTCACGATTTAATCACTAAGTCTTGTGATGGGTCCCGGGAAAAGTTGGGAAAAAAGAAAGAGTGGATCAGAAAGTTGAGAAAAGATTCAGAGGGTGCACCATCTCAGTTGCTCAATTAAATCGGTTACACAAACATTCTTTCGCCTATTCTATTTGGCGAATGTCATGTCATTCCCCACTTTTTAGGTCCACTGCTACTATCGTCGTTATGCCGCCTCGTTCCTTCCTCGTCTAGTCGCCATGTCGTTTCGACGTCTTGATGTTTGTCGCTTTACTCCTCTGCCTCCATTGTCTCTCGTATCATCTACTTTTTGCTTTCTTGTTCCTTTATCTTTTGATCTCCTCGCATCTTCGTAACGTTGTCTCCTAGTATGCGACCTCTTCAGTGTTATAGCCCAGCGATTCTCAACCCAAGGCGGTCGCGCATAGATTTTTGAGGGTCGCGGTAAGTACAGGACAGGCAAGATAATTTCGATTTCAATTCCGAATTCAACAAAATGCAAAGTGCATAAGAAAGTTGTGACGGAAACAGTACCTACTCCGTACTCAAACAGTCGATATTTAAAAATTAGAAAATCTTAAAATTACTTACAATTTTTTTTCTTTTAATAATCCTAAAATCTAATCGTGGACAGGTTTGCGATAAACGGACGCACTTAACTCAACACAAACGCTGATAGCTTCAGAACTTCATTTTCCTTTATCACAAACTTGACGATAACCGAACGGCCATGTTGAACACAATTACAAAAATTATCGGTGGCTACTCGAACAGTTCCCCTTTACATTTTTTGCAAAAAACAAGAGAACCTCAACAGAAGACCTCGCGGTGCACAAATGCCGCTTCCTTTTCTTCAATTCAACTTGACAAATTTTTCCGTAAAACGGACAAACCGCTTTAAACTTCTCACAAAAATATTTTGAAGACGACTAGCTGCGTCCTCAATCAATCGAACCGGGCGGGCAGCAAACTCTTTTCCAACCGTCGTGAATCAGCCATGTTTTTTTGTTGTCTCCCGTATTTAAGAGAACACCACTTATATTCTAGAATAAACTATCGCAATTAAAAAGAAAATGTGCGCACTGATGCCTTGGATTTTAAAGTTTGCAAGGTCTTATTTTGGTGTATTAAACGCATTTGTTTTTCCTACAAATAAAGTAAAAACCTATTCCGAATAGTAAATAAGCGCAAAAACGTCCGTGTGAGCCCATACGGGGGAGATTTTCCTAATGGGGTATTTACATGGGTCAATTTTCTCCGTGCGATTAATCGGTTCACAAAGCCGCATCGCCACCTCCTTTACACAGTTGACTGGAATCACAACCGTTGAACAGATTTTAGTTACCAGCCGCATGGTACCACCCCCCGCACGGCCAAAAGTCGGATGCTAGTCTACTTTGGACCAAGCGATTTTAGTCACTTGCGGCCTAGCCGAATTGACATTTAGACGGTCGATTTTTGCCGCGCGGTTTTGCAGTGCGCGGAAAATCGACACGTGTAAACCCCTTGTATAAGAGACTTCCACCATTCGGTAGAGATTAGATCACCCAAACCTACGTCATCCAGTTTATAGAGAGGTCTTTTAACAAATTTGTATACATCCATGTACAAGCACTAGCCTTTGCCTTAAGGCACTTACACGATAATTAGCGAGAAAAGGCCATCCTAAATACGATCCTAAAAGAGAAATGTGTCTGTCTTTTTCTAAAAAGTCTTATGAAAGGATGAACACAATCATGGGTGAAAGCGATACCGGGGGTCCGGGGGTATGGAATGCATACGAAGATTTGGATATATTTAACCAAAGGTTACCATGAGGGTGCAAGGGATAACAAGAATTAACGGGTCCTCCTTTGCTGAGGGTACTGCTGGGGAGTATTCCATACCCCCAGGATAGAAACGAGTTTTAAATCAAGCCGTTTATGCAGTCTTGCTGATATGCCGGGGTGTAGATAACGACAACAGTTGTTGCGTCGGAAAATTCCCATTACTCTAGGTGTTGATTGGATTAATGAGTATTAAAGTTTAAATGCGCTTAACTGGGTAAGCATTGTTAATGAATGACGTTTTAATGAGTTGTAGATCAAACCGGCAGACGGCATCCAGAGTTATATCAAAATGCTCGTCAAAATGGGTGCGCTTAAAAGACAGGAAGTTCGATTGCCATCTTAAATTTGTTCGATAACTACAGGCCGAGTAATTAATTAAAACCGAATTAATTTGAATCGCTTTAATCTAGGCTTTAGTCGTAAATACGGCGAAGAACTGGAAATTCCCTATTCCATTGCCCCAAAATTCGGATTTATTTATAAAGTAACGCTGGATTTTGTGGGCATCTGTTGCCATTTTTTATTCTTGCCGTAAGTAACTTAATTTATTGAGTCAATTTTTGCGAAACTGTACCGTTTACGGGTTTTGTCACATTGATACCTATACCGACGATATGTCGCTTAATAATTATTACTTCTATAGTTTAATTTTAACTTGACGATTAGGCAACACATCTTACTACCAACATTTTCATTTAAAATCAATGACGCTAGAGACAGAATGAGTGTGTGTAATTTCATCAAATAATACATGAAAATGTGATTCACTCATCATATGTTGAGGTACACGTTTCCAATGCCTGGAGCGTTAACACACACATGCTGCAATTGCTTTTATGATGTAACAAGTGTTGCAATTTTATTGATACAAACAATATGACTTATCTAAATAAAATAAAATAAATATCTAAGTCTTAAGTGAAGCTAAAGAGATACCAAATAAGGTGTACTTAAAATCGTCTACCCTCAAGTCGATGGACACATCTCTGTGGATAGCGTACGATTTATATTCGACGCAGTTCCAAATATATCCAGAATATTTCGCCATGAAGTAATCCCTAAGCCCCTTGCAGGGATTATCGGAGTCTTCGTCGATAAATCTTTTCAACACCTGCACGGCCTCAGTTTTCATAACGTCCGTCATTTTGTCACTGTCTATATTATTGACACCTGTACCAAAAACTTCGACGTTACCACTCAACATAAAATTACATACCAAGGGTTCAAAGATGTAAGTCATCACCAAGCCTGTGCCAGTGCGGTTCGCAATTGCGTTTCCATCCACCGATAAAATCGCCAAAGATAACAGAAGCAAAACTATTATTCTCGCCATTTATTTCGTCTTTAAGCTGAAACCACTGCTCTACAAATTCTCCGTTGACCTTCTCCCAGTTTGATAAGCTGAAAGTAAATAAATTGTTGCATAAATAAAAAAAAACGAAACAGCATGCGAAACGTAATAGATCGACTGACTGCATGCTTTAAAAAATAATTAGTGGTAAGTCTGCGGGCTACGATTTTATTAGCTCTGTGACAGTTTTTAACACTTAACCCTGCGGTCGCGGTTTGGTCCCAGGTTTCAACTTCGGTTTCACAAACTGACATGTCTGGCACACTTCTCGTTCTATTTACGTTTACGGTCCGTGCAACACGAATTTACCATTTCGGAATCCGCGCGAATAATTTCCACAAGATATTGAATTAGATAACGAGCCAATTTAGTAAGCGGAAAAAAATGTGGACAAACCACTCCGTCAAAAAATGTACCGATAGATTTCAGGTCTTTATTTTAATGGTCATACATTATAAATAATAATCCACGTACACACAGAAAGACAAAGTGGCGTGATTGACAAATCGAAAAAAAGAGAACCGGAAGAAGCATCATCTTATAAAACAGTTTGTGGTTTGATGCGATCGATAAGCACTTCTTTTTCCGTTCCTGAATGATGTCACTTATATTTTCGGTGTAATTTTCTCACAATTACGCTTAATATTGAATTCTACTGGGCAGATCTAATTGTCCACTAATTATTAATGGTCACTTTTTGCTACCTTACTTATTGCTGGAACATTAAAAACCCGTCTATTCGAGTGAACAAAAATTAAGACAAAGACACCAATAATATATTGAGCGCGTTTTAACAGCAAGACTGTCATCATCAGCGAATAACTCCACTCAGTTGTTCCCTGATGATGACAGCTTCACTGTTGAAACGCTCTGTTGATTGTGCCTTTGTATTGTTTTACTAAGTATTTATTTACGCATTCCGGTGGAAGTAAACATATTACTAGTAAGGTGTTGCCCTGTACGATTCCACAACCCACTTATTCCGTTGAGAAAGTACTTCATACAGTTATGCATCTTTGCTGTATCATATTGCTTTCTCATCGCGCGCGGCCTGCAGCTCTTGCGTCTTAGCAATACAAGAAAGGGGGTCTTCTTCTATATAGTGTGTGGGGTCTGGATGTAAGATAATCGACTTCAACATTAATACTGTTTGTACTTTCACTTGTACTTTTTCATGTTAAATTAATGGTGGGCGATACTGAAGCACCACTTTGATGTTTTTTTTTGGACAAGCCATTTTACCATTTTACGAGTTGTGTCTAAATTAAATCGTAGATGTCTTTGATGTATTTTCGTACGAAATTGATTGACCTTGTTTTCCATCTGCATTTATGCTGTCTTTTGCTTTTGTTTGTTTGTTGCCGTAGTTGATTTATTTCTTGTAGTTAGGTATTGTGTGTGTTGTGCCAGGTTTTTTTGTCCAGTGAAGGTTCCTTTCCTGACCTTGTTGTGTACATAATATATCTTCAGTTGTTCTTTTGTTTTTTACGCACAAAACTCGCAGCCGAAGCCAAAGCCAAACCCAAAGCTGAAGCTGAAACTCAAGTTGAAGCTAAACCTGCAGTTTTTATATACTCAGACATTAGCGATATCTATGATTTCTATTTTCGTTAAAGTTACCTACACTTCGTTGTTCATTCCTACTCCCTATCCGCGAGGAGGCCTCTGCATATTAAATCACTTCTTTTTCTAGTATTTTCTTTAATTTTGTCTTTTTGCATTTTGTCGCAGTACGCACCGAAAAATTTTGTACGTCCCGGCTTAACGATAAGTCCAATTTTTTTCGTTCAAAAACCCCACCCTATGGTCATCGACTGGCTGATTTACTAAACTTTTTGCGATTACTTAATGTTAACGCACATTCCGCGGCCTAGAACGGAATATTTTTCTGTCGCGTTTTGAGAAGAACTCTTCTGCGGCTTTGTTTGAATTCTTTGCCAACTATATAACCAGCTTGCGCAAACCTATGTATGATTGATACTCAACGCAATGCTATCGTGGCTTGACGCGTATTGCTCTACTACTTACCATCAACGACCAATTTTCCACCAGTCGTTATTTTTTTAAACTGCGCCCATAGAACGTTTCCCTCCCTAAACCCAAATTAACATTTCTTCTCATACTCACATTGACTCAGCAAAAACAAAACACCTAATGCAAGTTAACTAGTTTTGTTACATATGTGTCACGAGAATTTGGCACCCACCAACATTCACACGCAGTTATGTCCATGAACCTAGCAGAGCATGGTCAGCAGAACACAATAAAACATATTGCATAATTAGGTGCTAATTAAGTGCCCTATCCCCGAATTAAATACTCCTTTTTTTAAAAAATTATTACATGTTCTGCCAGGTTCAAATGAACTCAGCAGAACACTACCTTTAAAAACCCAAGAAAATGAAAAGTGAACTAACTATAATTAGGTGCTAATTAAGTGCTAATTAAATACCCTATTCCCAAATTAAATGCTCCTTTTTTTAAAAATTAATACATGTTTTGCCAGGTTCATATGAACTCAGCAGAGCAGAGAGCACTACCTTAAAAACCCAAGAAAATGAAAAGTGAACTAACTATAATTAGGTGCTAATTAAATGCCCTATCCCCGAATTAAATGCTTCTTTTTTTAAAATTATTACATGTTCTACCAGGTCCATAATTTAAAAAAAAGAGCATTTAATTCGGGAAGATGACACTTAATTAGCACCTAATTATAGTTAGTTCACTTTTCATTTTCTTGGGTTTTTAAGGTAGGGCTCTGGTGAGTTCATATGAACCTGGCAGAACATGTAATAATTTTAAAAAAAAGGAGCATTTAATTCGGAAATAGGGCCCTTAATTATCACCTTATTAGCACCTAATTACAGTTAGTTCACTTTTCATTTTCTTGGTTTTTTGAGGTAGTGCTCTGCTGAGTTCATATGAACCTGGCAGAACATGTAATAATTTTTAAAAAAAGGAGCATTTAATTTGGAAATAGGGCCCTTAATTATCACCTAATTAGTACCTAATTACAGTTACTTCACTTTTCATTTTCTTGGGTTTTTAAGGTAGTGCTCTGCTAAGTTCATATGTACCTGGCAGAACATGTAATAATTTAAAAAAAAGATCATTTAATTCGGGGATAGGGCACTTAATTAGCACCTAATTATAGTTAGTTCACTTTTCATTTTCTTGGGTTTTTAAGGTAGGGCTCTGCTGTGTTCATATGAACCTGGCAGAACATGTAATATTTTTTTTAAAAAAGGAGCATTTAATTCGGAAATAGGGCCCTTAATTATTACCTAATTAGCACCTAATTACAGTTAGTTCACTTTTCATTTTCTTGGTTTTTTGAGGTAG